TATCTCCCACCTCCCTACCCACCAGGCTCAAGACTGCTTTGGATAAGGGCTTCTGCTCAGGCTTTTTCTCCTTCCATGGAATGCTTCAACATTTGCTGGGCCAGAGGGAAAGCAAGCATTAGCCTGTCTGTCTTGCTTCATGGCTAGGACTCTTGCATGTCCCAGGTGGGAGCCCTGGGGTCCAGCCCCTGCTGCAAAGACCATTCAGTGGAAAACGCTGAGGCCCTTCCCTTTCCCATGTGCTGTACAGGGGGACTTGGTGCTCAGCCTGGGGCTGAGGATCCATCTGTGGGGCAGGCACCTGGTTCCACTGTGGATCGTGGTATAAATGCAGTGTCTTTCTTTGGTCTGGAGCAGCCCATTATATCTAATTGCTGCTGTGGCCAGGGCAGGACCAGTTCCCTCTGGCTGCCTGAAGGCCCAAACCTGTGGATGCTTGCTCCCAGGCCAAGTGTTTTTTATTCAACAATTGCTTTAAAGCTGGTAGCTATGTGGATGAGCAAACCCATGCCATATACTGCCTTCATGTGCTGGAGCCTGGCCATGCTGAGGGGAAGGCTCCTGTGCACTAGGAGGTATGTGCAAGGGGCTGAGTTGCTTTAATGCTGCCTGACGTGGGTGTGTCTGATTGACTAGAATGGTATGCTCCGCACGGCCTGGAACTCAGTGCCCCCGGCTTGGATGTGATTGTGGGCCAATGTGATGTTACATCTTCCTGAGACCAAGCCCACCCCTACTGTAGTGTTTCGCCTGCATCAACAGCTGGTCTCTCAGCTGTCTCAGTAGACTGGATAGAGTTGTCTGTGGGAACATGCTTAATGGTGATCTGGTTTGTCTTCTCTGCTGCAGGTGGAAGAGAACAGGAGCTGCCTATTTTTCTTCCTGCTGTTTCTAAGGCTGTTCCCCATGACCCCCAACTGGTTCCTGAACCTCACATCGCCAATCCTCAACATTCCCATATCTCAGTTCTTCTTGTCTGTTCTCATTGGTAAGCACTGTGGAGGGAGGGGGGAGCAGGCCCAGCCTGCTTATCTTGCTACAGCAGTTTGAATAAACATGTAGTAGGCTCCCCTCTGTTGCCCAGCTGAATGTGGCATGTGGCAGCATTCAGGTTCTCATAGCAAGTGACTCAGTTATGGCCAACCCCAGCTTGCTGCTGTCCAGGCCCTGGCAGGTACTCCCCAGTGGTGAAATGGCTGCCCTGAGGGCTCAGTGTTCATGTTGGCCTTTGTTGGCTTTGTTTTAGTTTCTTGGGGGCAGGTAGCCTAGGAGAGCCCACATATCCACTCTGTTGCCCAGCCTGCTTGCTGCTTTAAACCTAACTCCATGCAATGACGTCTACAATCCTCAGTGCAGAGGGGCCCTGCTTCAGAGATTTGCCCTGCATAGTGGAATTTGCAGCCTGAGGGAGGCACGGGGCACATGGGAGATTTGGTGGCACAGCCATCCCAGAGGTGGGTGCACCTCTCAGCTGTCCAGTAAGGTGTGGGAGCAGGGCTGTGTCCGAGATCCAGCCCTCTGAGAGGGAGATGTCTGCCTTGGCTTGGAAGAGGGTTTGGTGCAACAATTCTGATGGGGAAATAACTTCTGCTCTTCCATGTGAGAACCAAGGTGAGTTGATGATAGCTCTTTCAGCAGAGCTGAAGGAAGAGGAAGAGGTTTGGTGGTTAGAGCATGTGGGGAATCTGGTTCAGCTCCATCTGCCTGATGACACTTGCCTCTTCCCTGCTCCAAGCAGCAGCACTTGCTCTTGGGTTAACGCCTGGCCGGGGACAGGTGCTGATAGCTCTTGGTTTCAACCTGCCAAAGCTATTTAGCATTGAATGGGATAAATGGCTCTTGTGGCAGAGGGAGAGATTCAGCATGGCTCCAGCCTAGCAGCTAGAGCACCCAGATTTTGTGCAGAGCCCAGTATGCTATGTACTCTGAGAGGCCTGCTGGGCTTCCAGGTGCTAGAGATAGGAGCCCCTGTGGAAGGTGAGTCCTGATAGGGCTGAGGCACCTGGCTGCTCAGCCATGTCAGAACTGAGCTGTTTTTTAGCATGCCTGAACTCAGTTGGGAAACGTCATGGGAACGGGGGGGGGGGGGGGGGTTTATGGGTTTGGGGCCTTCTGGGGGCCCAGAGGGGGTG